ATTCCACAACTGTCCCTGTGCCCCAAGTGCAGCAGGGCATCAGACACAGACCACCCTGCAGCTGACTTCCTAGCCCTGGCTATGGATGATAATGATGAGTGAAAGGGCATGAGCGCTCCTGACCTGAACACTGTTATCTCTTACAGGGAGCCCCAGGTATACATTAGGTTATCAGCTCAATCAATCTCCTTCCTTTTAGACACCAGTGAAACATACTTAGTGCTGACGGAGTTGTGGGGACCCACCTCTCCTTCTCGTCTCCCTATTGTCAGGGTAGTGGGACAGCCTTACTTACCTCAATAGACTCCACAACTTAGCTGTATATTGAGGGGAATTACCCTCAATCATTCATTTTTTGTTATAGCAATGTGTCCTGTTCCCTTACTGGGGAGGGAACTTTTAGCAAATGTGGGAGGTCCTCTTGTATGCTACCCAACTTCGCATAACTCCAGAGTCACCAGCAGCTCCTCTCCTCTTCCTCCAAGACACCCAATATTCAGATTCCAGTAAGTTGTTTCCTCTACCAGCCTTTCAGGTAGAAATCAAATTCTGAGACACCCAAAATTCTTCTGTGGCTAAGCACCACTCTCCTGTTGTCATTCAATTATAGCATCACTTGTGGTACATCACTCAATTCCAGTACCCACTCCCACACTAAAGTCTAAGGGGATTTAAGTCTATTATCTCTGACATCCTAAGAAAAAGTTACTTCCTTCTGCATCCTCTACCTTTAACACCCCTATACTAACAATAAAAAAAAACTAATGGGACCTATCACCTGGTTCAAGTCCGCAGTCTCCATAATTTTGCAGTGGTCCCCCTCCATCCTATGTTACCTCATCCTTATATACTCCTCTCCACTATCCCCTCAGGGTACTCTCATTTCTCAGCTTTGGTTCTTAAGGACAACTTTTCCTCTATAACCATCGACAATAGGTCTAAGAATATCTTTGCTTTCACACGGACTGAGCCTGACACTCATGTCTCCATGCAGCTCATATTAACTGTCCTACCTCAGAGATTCCAGGACAGCCCACACTTATTTGGCAGGCTATATTTTCTGACCTGCTTTCTTTTTGTCTCCCCAAATCTAATCTCATACAATATGTAGATGATGTACATTTTTTGCCTGACACCAACACTCTTCTAAATTCCTGTCCAGCATTGGTTATAGTGTCTCAACTTCTAAGGACCAGCTCTCCACTCCTCATGACACCTACTTAAGACCACTCCAACTCCTTTAGACAGTCAGATAATTTTCCTGCATTCTCCTCTCAGATATCCAAACACTATCTAAAGCTCTCAAAACTGCTTGGCATTTTCATATTCCATATCACCCCAATGCTCAGGGAAGGTAGAGCATACTAATCATTTTCTAAAAATTATTCTTGTGAAAAAGGCACAAGAAATTCACCTCGACTGAGTAAAAGATCTCGCCTCTGTCTCTCTTCAGGCTTAGGGCTCTTCCCTAACAACACCTTTTCATCTCATATTTTGAGGTCATGTATGGGCTGCCAGCTGTAACACCTGACCTCTAAACTAAACTCTTACCTCTCCCTGACCACCTGCTTACACCCTTAAATCGCCATCTCTGCTGCTGACCCTTTCCATAACTCAAAAATGTGTCAACCCCTGCATGTCCTGAATTAATATGGGGGATTTGATTCTTCTCTCTCCTCTGGACCAACAACCCTTTCTGCTTGTGCTTCATGAGTAAATTTAACCAAAAATTCTTACAAACTCGATGACAATAAAACAATCAGCTAATAATCTATTAATCTAATTCTAATAGAGTACTAAATAACAAACGATGACACTATACAGTGCTTTTTGTTGTGCTAGAAGTCAGCAAGAAGGCCTGGGCAACCTATGGGGCCCTACAACCCTTATTTTTGACAATCATAAGAGGTGGAATTGTAGGAATTCCAGCATTACCCTAGCCCAACCCCTGATGTGAGGAGCAGTGTGAATAAGAAACAGGGGCAACAAAGAACTTTTTAAGAGAAAGTTTTTGATATATTATTTCAGGATACAAAATATCATTTTTAGATGCACCTATATTCCATGTTCTTACAGTATGTGGGAATTTCATGTAAATACTTTAAACGTTGTAAATTTGTTGAGGGAAGCCTTTTACTTGTCATCCACTTTGGTTTTTCCTCACCAGTTGTCTGGACTCTGCTGCATTATTGTCCCCAAATAACACACAAGATGCTGTATTAATCATAAAGATATTGGCTGTTTGTATGTTTCTTGCTGGCTAGCTCAAACTTAAGTATTTCTTTCTCTTACCAGAGAAAAGGTCCAGACTTCTTATCCCTACGGCGGCTAAATCGTGACTCCCCGTGTTTCTCCTACCCAGAGTCCTCCTTGACACCTAGTCCCACCTATCTTGCTTCCCTATTGGCCACCAGTGCTTTATTGGGATATACACAGGAATTCCCCTTCATAGGTTCAATATTATACCACCATAATTATTGTGCTCCTAAACTTAGCAGTTAACTCAGTGATATTTTCTATTCAGTTTAGAATAAGATGCAGTGATTTTACATATCACATTTATCATGTTAGTATTCTTCAAAATATGCATTACTTACTTTAACTTCTATCCCATACATATATTAAGGAAGCTACAGATAATTGACAAGTATTTGGCTTGAAATTAAACACCAATCGTTCAGGTTCCCCTTCCATGTTTTTCAGGGATGTTCAGGTTATGTCCTTGAAAAGTAAAGATTATCACTGCTCAAAGTGTGAAATATTGAAGACACAAATACAGATAATTTAGACTTATTGTACATGTAATATATTAGTTCCCTAAATTGTCTTTCACGTTATGGGTTACATTATTCAGTGAAGTTATTTATAGTAGGTCAAAGAAATAAAAGTAATGCACAATATAACTTATTGAAGCCCATTGCATATGAAAAGATAATCTGCTCAGCTTAGACAAGGGGGTGGTGCCTTGATCTTGCATCTACCATATGTTGTGAAAGACTGCGTAATTCCTAGAATGGGATTTACATACACTCTATGAGAAGGAGATTAAAGGTTGATTGGAGGGGAAGTGAGGACAGTAGGAAGACTGGAAGGAGAAAAATTGGAACTGGAATGTAAAATATGAATTAACAATTTAAAAAAGGAAAATCAATACCAAAAAGAGGACCTAAACCACGTTTATCTGTGAGGATTATGAGAAATGTTCCAAAACCTATTAAGCATGAGCATGCTTCCAACCATTTGCCATAGCTGAGGCTATAGTCATGATCCCTCATACCTCAGCCATGAAGTTAGCACTCAGAGAACAAAAGGGGGCGGTATCATTTAACACTAACACCTTGACCACATGCACTAAACTGAGAAGTATTTAACTGTAACTAAGAAACAGTTAAAAATGTGCCTCATTCAGTCAAAAACAATGAAGAATGATGTTAAAAAGAGAAAGTTCCACACAGAAAAAAATAATAGTGAGGGAACAGTGTGCTTTAAAATATGCACATGACAGTGTCTCTGCTGTTTTTCTGTAACCCATAAACACAGCCAAACTCAAGAATGCTGTGCAATCTTCTGTACATAAGACCTCAGAAATTCATAAAATATTTTCTATAATTGTTCCTCTATGTTCATTTAATCGATTCCATTCGCTATTAGGATATTGGGGACCTAATATAACATTTTAATATACCTAAAATTTATGCTTGTGAACACTTTCCTTCATACTGTCAGAATTACAGCTCAGAAGTCTACAAAATATCAAGGTGAATTTGTAGATTTAAGTGGCTTCTTCAAGCATAATAACTTACTAAACGATACAACTTTTAGAGTTGCTGTTTGTGTTCCCAAACTAGTCTGTAATTTTCACTGCATTTTATCAGTAATTGAGGCATATATTAATGATAGGAAGAAAAACCTTACCATGTAATAGCCTACCTTGCCCCACATTTTTAGGAAGATAGTGGATTAATAAAAATTCATATATATATATATGTATATATATATACACACACACACACATATATATATATATATATATATATATATATATATATGCTCTGAAAACATACTTACCAAGTTTTCCTCGAATATTTATCACTATGCTGACAGGTTCAATTAGTTGTAATGTCATGAAAAAATATCACCATTTCACAAAATTATTACACATTTCCACAATTGGTGCAAAGTCCAAGTACTTACACTGTTTCCTTAAAAGTCACCTGATCAACCACACAAACTACTTTCATACATAAACTCAGAAAAGCATTGCATGCAATGGTCATATACAGATTATTATTGAAAGGAAAGGGTATCTCTTGTCAAGCCTGTGTCTTCTAAGAAGGATAGGGAATTTAGAAACTGTAAGTTTAAGAAATTTAAAGAACAACGCAAAGAAAAAAATCAAAGGTAGAACTAAAATTTGAGGACAAGGATATCAGAAATTTAAGTGAGAATTAGAATGGAAACTCACAGTTCCCACAATTAACAGAAATGTCAAAGACACATATTGAATGAAAATAGAAAGGCTAAATTTATACTAATGCTTAGGTTCTATAGCCATTTAAATTTCAAAATGTCAGTGTTAAATTGGTTATACATAAAAACCACAAAGTTTATATAGTGTGGGTTATTTATGGGTATATTTACATAGTTAACCATAAAATCATTGGAATATGTATTTATAAATATTTTATCATTTATAATGAACAAAGACCAACTTCCCAAATAGTGTTTACAATTTTTTTTTCATTTAAATGGGGTTGCTTATGAATGCTTAATGGTTCACAACCAATCTCTTTTTATAGGAAAAAGTGACACAATGGTATAAAATTATTATGTTTATTGGAATGGATTTCCATTTAATGATCCTAATTAAATATGAATTTTATTATATATCTACACACACATACACACACACACACATATATATATATACATATATATAATTTCTCTTCTTTAGGTATTGTGCTTGTATCACTCATTTAAAAATGAAATGTATATTTAAATACAGATTATAGTTACCGATTATAGTAGAAACCTATATTTAGGTTAGTAATGTTTCCTAGATATGCAAAGATGTATTTGAGATAGATAAATAACCTTCAACCATCTCAAAGACCTTCAGAAAATGTCATTAAAATTGGTTTAGGTTTTTTCACAATAGTGGTACACAACTGCTCCTGACACACCAATTATGTCTGAGAGTATGATTGGCATCGAAGAAAGTCATTTCGGGGTTTACCTTCACCATGGGAAAGCAGCCATTTGGGTAAGAATGTGCTCTTTCCTGGACTGTTTGACTGTTGCTGTATAATCAGGAAATGCAGTATCCAAAGGAAACAGAATGCTGAACATAATGGGTTAGTTCTAAAGGGTTGCTACTTCATAGAAGATTCTGTCAGGCATTCTGCTTCACACAGAAAAGATGACTGACAAACTGGCAATCCAATTGAACAGTTTAAAATTTCCTATTTTGCTGAGAAGTCTGCCAGACACATTGTGACCTATTGGTTGAATATGGATTCTCCAACGTTACAGAGGGTCTTCAAGTGACTGTACAGATAGGAAGGTGTCTCTGTCACTTCTAGTGTTTATAAGTTATCCTACTGTGGTCTTTGGTGTTTTTGAAGAGAGATACTTATAATTATAGAATTGCTTAGCTATGATAAATGTAAGACATTAGACTCACAAAGATAGGATAGATCATACTTTCTTTAAATCTTATTAAATGTTAATGGACTAAATATTGTAAATATAGTACTTTCTTGATAAGTGTTCTGTTTTATATAGTTTGACTATATTAAAATTAAAACCTTTCTTTTTTGTTGCACCTGTCCCCCATGGGGTTCTGTTTATTGCTTGTTACTAGGAGCTTTTACCTGAACACTTCTCGTCCCCTCCTCCCAGTAAGGAGTGTATACAAGTTCCTGTTTTCCATCCATCCTTTGTATAAATGCTAATTCCTGTTTTGGGCTCATATTGTGCTTGAGGGCCCTGGGAATATAGATTTCTTACCTATCAAATTTTTCACCATGTCTTCCTATGGTATTTAATGCTCTACCCTTGTAATAATATATGTCATTCTCCTCAGACGAATCAGCCACTGTCTTTGTCTTCATTTTACATCCTTAGCCCTGTGCCTTGGATCATTGTGAATTATGGTAGCACGATAGCTGGGAACACACTGTCAGCTCAATACACTTTATGTTAGAGAGAAAAGAGGAGATGAAGGTCCCACTGAGATCAGGATAAAAGAGAAACTGGTAAAGAATTACAATCAAGCAGGCTGATCTCTGTGAGTTCGAGGCCAACCTGGTCTACATAGTGAGTTACAGGACAACCTCCAAACAATACAGAGTAAACATGTCCTGAAAAAACAAAAAAAGAAAAAGAAAAATAAATAATTACACTCAAATGCTGGCCAGCACATAAGATAAGAGGAGTGATTTAACATGTCAGGCACTTTAAGGATGGTCACCATCCTTAGAGGGTTGATTTAATATGTAATGCCCTGGAAGGTTTGTCAGCCTCCTTAGAGGAGTGGTTTAAAGTTAGACTCTAACCCTGACATTACCCATTGGCATCAAAACTGTCAGGGAATTCCTGAGAGACCACCCACACAGAAAGCCAGCCAGAATACTCCTTAAGGTTATGAGTAATATGTTTGGTATGTGTGCTGTTAGTTCCTACCCTCTTTTGGAAGACCATTTGATCCAACTGTTACAATGACAGCTAAGGACTTCTTAAGAACTATACATGAAGTCAGCCTTTGCTTTTTAGTCTCTGATGATCTTAATTCCCTTGATTGGAAGCAGGTTAGAGTGGACATACAAAGAACTTTACTTAATGAAGTCTAAATACCATAACAATTGTTGCCTTTTCTCTGTGGTGTCTTGGTAAGGGCATGATTTAATGATAGGAAGGCACTAAAGGAGCAGATCAAAAAATCTAGGGATGCCTTTACAGAGGCTCAAGACACAGAGTCTATTATATCAAATCAAGGTTCCAATGCTTTCTCTTCTGAGTCCTCTATCTCTTCTTCAGGGGAAGAGAAGAATAAAAGCATCCTCAAATTAAAAAATAAGTTTCAAAAATGTTCCCTTGAGCCTTGCCCACCTGCCTGTAGTCCTGAACATTTCTGTTCTTTCTGTCTTCCTTCAGCCCCTCCTGAAATGAAGAAGGGCAAAATGATGTTTCCAGTTATAGGGACTATTAATCCTCAAGGCCAGAGTCAGAGAGAACACTCCCCTCTCAACTTTAATGATATAAAACAGTTGAACGTGGTGGTTATGGCATGTGGGCATCATGCTCATTTCTCTCTGGTTGTTTTTGAATCCTTTACAGCCTTAAATTATACCCCAATGATTGGCCTCAAATATGTCTGTAGGGGTGAATAAAAGAAGTATGTAACCAGTCAGCACAGGCTGCCAGTTTTCCTGATAGGAATTTAGACATGCTTAACAGCATGGGAACCTATGCACCTCTAGGCCAGCAAATTCTTTACCATCCAGTTGTTTTTTTCACAGACTGCAGCAGCTGCAGGACATGCATGGAAAACCTTGACAATTTGGCTGCAGGAGTCCAGTTTTCTAAGATCCTACAGGGACCATCTGAACCCTAAACCGAATTTGTGGACTCGCTCTTACAACTTGTGGGTTGTATATTTGGGGATAATGATAACGCCATTCCTTTGGTAAGACAATTAGCTTTGAAAAATCATAATAAATACTGTAAGGAGGCTTTATGTCCTCACAAAACCCAGAGCTTAAATGATTATATTCGCATTTTTAGAGATAAAAATGGGTACCACAAATTATTGCTGTTGCTATGCAAGGAAATAGAAAGGCCAGTGAGGGACATAGACTTAAGACATGCTTCAGGTGCAAGAAATTAGGGCCCTTTCAGAAAAATTATCCTGCTATGGACTCTATTGAACCCCCTCCCTAAGAGCCAGGCCTTTGTCCCCTCTGTAATTTACGATATGATTGGACCAGAAATTTTAGACTAAGACTGTCTTACATGACTATGCTCTGCCACCTTCAGGAAACAAGAGTCAGGGTCTGCTTTGGACCCCTTAATCCCAGGTATATTGAGCCATGTGTACACCTGGTCCCCACTCTATCCATGACGTTGTCAGATGTACCCCAGGTAAAACATAAATAGACCTATGTTCCACCACCAGAGCAATTTTGACTCTTCAAATGGGACCCCAGCTTTGTACATGGGAGTCAAGGGCCCTTTACCTCAAGGCTAAATTGGGTTGATTTTAGGAAGTTGTAGCACTCTACGTAAGGGAGTTAAGAGTCATTCCCGTAGTTATTGGTGAAGATACTGCAGGATGGATCAAAATAATAGTGGAAGCTGGGAAGGGAGACACTGTGTTGGAGCCTAGGCCCCACAGGGTATCTAAGTTGTTTGTCAGCAGATAGCCACAGATGCATCCTGGTTTTCTAGTCCTGGCTTGATGACCCCTCATTGATCCACTGACAACACTCTGTCATCCACCTGGGGTTTTTCCAATGTGCTGTAAGCCTGTATATATAAGAATGCTCCCTCCTACAAGAAAGAGATCTCTTAGCACTTGCAATAAAGACACACACACACACACACACACACACACACACATACACACACTCCCCTGGCAATAAATGCAACACATGCCTTCTCTGAGTACAAACACCTTGATGTCTTGTCTTTCTTTTCCTGATACTTTGGACTTGCTTGTGGCACAGGTGCCAAAATTGGAGGTCCCACCAAGATCCAGAGAGACTTGGAAGGACTGGGAAAAATCAGCCAGAAAGAAGAATCTGGAGAGGAGAGACTCAAGAAGAAACGATTTGAAAACAGGTACTTCAACTTCTTACAAAAAATTGAGTGATCAAATCTCCAGGCTTTTGCTTGAGAGATCATGTTCTAAGGAGAAAGTGTATTGCCTAAATCTCCAGCCTTTGACCAATCCACTGAGGTCAGGAAAGTAAGGGAAAATGGAAAGATCACCCTCAGTTGAAAGGTATATTTAATTAGTCTCCAGCCTTTCACCTCATCTATTGAGGTCAGGAAAGTAAAGGGGAACTGAGAAATAGCTCTCAAAGGCTGGCCAGCAAGTAAGGTTATGAGGGTTCATTGGAAAGGGATACCATGTTAGGGGTGCCAGGTTAAATCTTCAGGCCTTTGCCCGCAAGGTCAGGAAAGAAAGAGAAACCTGAGAGACCACGCTTAGTTGGAGGGTGGATTGAGTAAGTCTTAAGGCTTTTGCCTGATGGATCATCCTCAGTTGGTGGATGGATTGAAAATGAGTGAATTGAAAATTGGTAACAGCTAGTAAATGAGGCACTGTTATTATGTGAAGGAAAGAGAAAAGGTGAAAATATATAGAATTGAATATACAAGGAGAGTCTGGATGCTGTGTGCGTTTGTGTTGTGTTTAAACTATTTAATTGCTAAGAAAGGAACAAAAAACTGCTAGAAGACATTTGATTATCAATGCTGCTAAATTAATCCAAGTTATGTATTTTGAAAATGCTTTGACTTCTAAATTTAAATATAAGGAAAGTTTACATGCAAAAAGAATTTCTGCTTTTGTTTCCACAGAAAATAAAAGCAGTGGGTTCCTTGCAGACTAGTGTGGTTTGATGAAGCAAGCCCACCTTAAGCAGTGGCCCATGTGATCCAACATCTAAAACACCTGAGATGATGCAGCCTTGAAGACTACAAAACCAAGGACTTCAACAGTTTTTTTTTCATAATACCCCTGGCATTTCAGTGCTCCTTAACAGCAGGAAGTAGTTTGGAAGAACAACACTCACATTCCCAAATATTGTTTTAAAATGTTTGTTTACATTTATACAGCATTAGTTATTGATAAAAATTTAAGGTAAATTTTGTGAGTGATTTCTAAAAACTTTTTACAAGGAGTGGGTACTGCCGTTGTCTCTGAGTGTATATCAGACCTTCTCAAATGGAGGGATGATAAGGGCATACAGGACTTTTTCAACCTTTTGTATTAATTTAAGGATTGACTGGAGTTGTTCTGTCATAGAGACTTCAATTAAGGAAATTTCATTTCAACAAACTAATCATGACTTGGGAAAATTGGATAACTAAAAGATGTATGTATGTTCTGCATGTATGGTGTGGCCATACTTGTGTGTATGAAATGTGATTGTGAATACCTGAATGTGAACTGCTTAAATTGTCTTGGATATGATTAAAAGGATACTTAATTTGCTTTGGAGATAGTTAACAAGCTACCTAAATTTCTTTGAATATAGTCAAAAGGGGCATCCAGTCAGTTGATGTCTTAACAGGAAAGGTTGACGATTTGAGTCCTCAGAGCCAGTCAGTGGAAACATAGCAAAAACCTGCATCATGGTCTGAGAGCCAATGAAGTCTGTATGGGAAATTCTATAGAGTAGAAACAGTTCAAAAATTCAAAAAATAAAAAGGGGACATATTGGTGCCCAGCTCTCACAGGGTCTCTGAGTTTTGTCAACTGATAGCCACTGGTGCATCATGTTTTCTAGTCCTGGCTTACCGCCCATGCATTGCCCCACTGACATCAACATTTATTATGAGGAAAACACACTCTCTTCCTCCTGGGGTTTTTCCACTGTGCTGTAAGCCTGTATATATAAGACTTCTCCCTTGTAAAGAGAGAGACCTCTTGGCAGTTGCAAAAAATACACAGACACACACACACACAGACACACACACACACACACCACTTTCCTGGCAATAAAGGCAGAACCTGCATTCTCTGAGCGCAAACAGCTGGATGTCTTGTCTTTATTTTCCTGATATTTTGAACTTGCTTGTTGCGCAGGCCTTTCAACACTGTTATATCTCAAGGAGTTAGAATTGCTCAATATATTTTGTCCCTTAAGTTTACAACTAATAACGCCATCCTTAAGCCTACAAGAAGAGAAAAGGGGTTTGGAACTACTGCACCTATGGCTTTTTTGGTGTGCAGTATGGAGTCCAGACCAATGGTGACCCTAAATATTGAGGGCCAGACCTTTCAGGGACTCCTAGTAAATAGTGCAGACACATCCATAAATTCTCTTAAAGATTGGCCCCATGCATGGCCCTACAATAATTAGATAGCAGCTTACAGGGCATAGGCATAGCAAAGCCATCTAGTAAATTTCCCATCTATTAACTTGGGTAGATGATGAGGGACACTCTGGTATATGTCTGCCATTAATCTTGCCTCACGCCCCACCAATCTCTGGGGCAGAGATATCCTCAAGGTTGTGGGGACTATACTGACCACATCCCCTGTATAAGATTTGCTTAGGGAGCAAGGCTATTGCCCAGGCAAAGATATTTGAAAGAGCCTACAGGGTGATCCCTGCCTATGTCTGAAACACCCATTGCAGAGATCTCCTGGAGACCAGAGAGGATTGGGACATTTTTAGTGGGGGCCGTTGTTCCACAGCCTCCTATACCTTCAATTTTTATAACTAATCTGAGACAGATTAGAAAGATCATGATGCTCATGGGTGCCACACAGTCAGGCCTGCCAACGGCTCTGGCCATCCCTAATGACTGGCACATGCATGAGATAGATTTAAAGAATTGTTTTATTAATATTATTTCACACCCTGCTGATTGTCAGTATTTTGCTTTCAGTGTTCCATCTTTGAAATTAAGAGAGCCTTAAAAGAAATATCAGTGGGTAGTTTTGCCCAAAGGTATGGTTAACAGCCCTACCATGTCTCAAATTTATGTTTAATATCCTCAATTATATATAATTCATTATATGGATGATTTACTGTTGGGTGTACCAAAAGAAAAGCTGTTACTATCTGCCTTTGGGAATCTTCAGAACATCTTGGGATTAGCTGGCTTATGGAAGAAACAGGACAAAGTACAAAATATTCATGCTCTAGGGGAGTTTTTGCAACATATTACCAATCTTTGGGTTCATTCTCAAGCTTCCCATTCTAAATCTGTGGTGCCCAGTCAATAGCTGCACTAATGTTTGGGCACAGAGGATTGCCTTGCATGCTTATGTTGGGGAGCCTGATAGGGTTGTTGTATGTTTGTTCTGTCAACAAATAAAATTGATACAAATTGTAAGTATACCTGGGACATTTTTCCCTCTGCCATCCAGAGTTATTTTGTTAATCACTCCCCATCCAATAATTTGGTTTCCTAAAATTGTAGTTCTTTAGCCTATTTCAAAGGGGCAAATGGTTTTCACAAATGGTTCCTCTAAAGGTACAGCTATAATTGTGTCTTACCCGATCATTAAGAGAGCCATAATTCCTGCAACTTCTGCCCAATTGAACCAAAATTTAGCCCTGGCCGTGGCATTGCAACTCTTCCCAATGGAAGCCTTAAACATTTTTTTTACCAATGGTCAATATGTTGCTTATATTATCCAACCTTCAGAAACTGTTGCCTGTGTTACTCCCATCTGTAGGATGCAAGAAAGTTTATTACAGGTACAAGGTCTGCTATGACAACCGAGCTAACCTATGTTTGTGGGACATCTTAGGGCCCATACTCCTTTGCCAGAGCCTCTCAGTGAAGAAAATCTCACAACTGAGAGGTATTCTCAAATTGGTGCAGTTTTACAAGTACTCACTAAAGCACTATATCTATGTAAGCACTTTCATCTCAGTTCAGGGTCTTTGTGCTCTCATAGTGGGATTACCTAAGAACAAGCTGTTCTAATTCTTAAGGATTGCCCTCGTTGTGTAGAATTTCTTCCTGTGCCTCAAGAACATTCTCATTGTACTTTCAAAAACCTATTTAACTAAAGTAAAGAAGGGCGATCTTGGGGGCAATCTTGTCTCTCCTCACTCTATGATTTATCCTCTATATCTTAAATTTTTAAATTATGGATCCTTCTGGAAACTCCTAGCACAATGTCATTTGCAGTCCACTGTACAGAAAAAAAACCTCTTGTTAAATGGAAAGACCTAACCTCAAGAGCTTGGAATGGACCAGATCTGATTTTGTATAGGTCTGAATGTCTTTTTGTATACTCCCACTGGATGGTGAGTCCCCAATTTGGGTTCCAGAGTGTGCACTCTCCTCCTGCTGATATTCATCAGCCACCAATAGACTCATTAGGCTTTGATGAGGAACCTGCCAGTACTGATGCTGGCAGGTCTTTAGTGTTAGTTGTATCCAGCTAAAATCAGAATCAACCATAGCCTAGGGAAGGAGGCTTCAGGATGGATTTGCCTGCTTGGGATATTTGCTATATTCAATAACACTCCCTCTAGAGAAATGCTTAATTATTTCCCCCAGGAATAACACTTGATAAGGTTATAATCAGCCTTGGTGGTCGTGTTCTAGGTGTCATGCCCATTCCAGTAGAACACTCAGGGAAAAACTAAATTGTCTTCACATGACATGGGAGAGACGTTGACATCACAATAGTTGCTGATTTTGCCTTCCCTATCTTCAGTCAGTTGCCACTGCAGTCATGCTGGATAAATCCACAGGGGAGGGTGCCTCTACCTTAAGTTCCCAAATTTACATTAGTTACAATTGGGCACTTTACATCTTAATTAGCAAATAGACTTAATTGGCTATTCTAACTGATACAGGGGAGCCTCCTTTTTGGAGATTCTCTCTTAACAGGATTGCAACAGATAGTTCTATTACTTAAGACATGGAGTGGGTTGCTAGCTCTCAGGATTATGATCCTGGGCAATAGAATCCTTAGCCGTAGTTTGCCTTTTAGATAGGCCACAAACCCAGCACCATTTTCATACAAAGTAGATCATGCTCTCCTTGTCAACAGATAACCCCTCAGTGCAGGCCTGGTTGAGCCAGAAACACAAATGAGATATCAATGACAGATATGTCCTGGGGCACATCTATTATTCTAAGACAGAGGGGTTGTGAGGCCTTTACAGACTTCTCAATGACAGGTAAAACAGATGTCAACCTAGTTAATACAATTTGTAGATTCTACCCTGTCACTCAGTGCTAATTTTTTATTATATATAAAAGGGGAATTTGTTGTAAAATTTCCCCATGGAGATCTGTTGATCTCTTGTTACTAGGGGCTTTTAGCTAAACACTGTTGTCTTTGTCTTCATTTTACATCCTTAGCCCTGATCCTCCAGTCTTTGTGAAATATGGTAACACCATAGCTGTGAACACACCGGCAGCACAGTACATTTTATATTAGACTAAAACAGGAGATGATGAGGGAGGTCATTCACTGTATATGTCTCTCCTACTTGACAATGAGTAAACATGTTGGCCAATAGGGAAACCACATAGGTGTGAGTAGGAGTATAGGAGGATTCTGGGAAACAGAGACACAGTCAGTCACCATGTAGAACACCAGAGGAGTAAGTGGTCTGGACTGTTTCTCCTGTAAGATAAGATCATGTGGAAGCATTCAGATTAGCATTCATGGGTTAATAATTAAGTCAGAGCTAGCTGATATGAAACCAAGCAAACAGCCAAAAGATTCATAATTAATGTAATGTTTTGTGTGTTATTTAGGGGTTGAGACAGCTGCAGACCCAGGCAACTGCCAGGAAGACTTTACATTAAACTCTGCCATCGTCAATAAAATATTAATTAAAAAATACTCAACACCTGCAGGATTTCAAAGATAATCATATACTTAAATACATTAATCAATTAAGGGAAATAGTTTCTGTTTGCAAAAATTGAGTAACAATACAGACACAGAATGCTATGGTGAACCTGTGAGGACTGAAATTAAATAGGATGATGGCAAGAGAATTTCCTGTGCTGTCAATTTGAGCAATAAGTGACAGGGTAGAGACTACAAATGTTATTGCATGTAATTTCAGTCAATCAAAAATTTCATGCATAAACCTACAATGGCACAAGTATTCCAAT